GCCTCACCAACCATAATTCATTAAGATCATTTGTGCTGCCTAGTAACCCACGTGTTATGGGAAAATGCAACACGTCTAACAACGCCACGGAAAGCCGTCTCTCTCCGGGCACGTGTTGGCATTCGCCAGGAACCTAACGGTTGTGCGCTACGCTCCCGCTCCAGAGGAGGTTTCCTTATTAAAGGGCAGACTCTGCGGCATCTCATTTTTCACTCAGAGGTTTCCAGTTTTAGGTCTGCTTCTTGCAGAATAAAGCACACACGGGCATCTAGTTGTACAGTTGTGGAAGCAGAATATTTATGGGCCCTCCTGTTTTCTTGGCGATCACAGCCTTGCTTTGCCATCTAAATGTGCTAATGCCAAAATCAATGAGATTCTGCTACACTTACAAAGGTATAATCTCTGGCTCATTAAAATCAAGTCCCCTCCAAGAAAAAGCATTTATTATCCTCTCTAGAAACAAGATTTGATTAAGTCCTTCAAGGCTAGCAGTAATATTCACTCAGCACAGTACTCAGTATTGCTCCGTTGGCTTCACTTCTCCGTATGATTTCATACATTTTCCATCTAAGTTTGAGAGAACCACCACTTGGCTTTTCTTGACATGCAGAGCTTCTCTCACTTTTTCTCTGTACAAGTATTTAACGCCAACCAGAAGATGTTTTATCGCTTCTCACAGGTTATACGAGCCTGGAGCACTTTGCAAGCACATCACCGTGCGTTTCAGCCACCGGTCCAAGCCCGGTGGCCAAGGGGTTGGCGTTGTGAAGGCTCAACAGCACATGGGAGCACAGGTATGCCCGCTATCTCGTTCAGCTACTTTGCACTCCCAGCCTGAATGAACACATACACGTTTAAAGCTGGTTTGACTGGGGGCAGCCTTTGACATGAATCTGGAGCAAAACCTGAACTCACCCCCCTGGAGCCGTGCGAGAGGTCTTAGCTGCTCCACCACTTCGCACTAGAGGAGGGTGCCCAATGCCAAGAGACCCGCATGGGCTTGGACGTGTGCGTGCACAAAGAAGAAAGGGTGTCGTGCAGAAGAACAAAGCAGAAACCGTGCAGATTAAAACCTGCCTCTCCTCCATAATGGAAATGCCTGTAGAATTTTAATTTAAATTTTTCAAAGCCTTGGCAGGTCTGTATGAGTTGATGGTAGTCTCTGCCATTTCCTTTTGGCTTCTGATTGCTAGTCGCAGGAACAACTCAACAATGGGCCCATTGTTTTGTTCCAAAACCTGACTGTCAAACTGGAGCAGCTGAAGATCTTCAGCTGGAGCGTCCACCAGAACGGCGATTAGCTCTTTGTCAGCCGCCAGCGCGCGGAGGCCGCAGGAGACGCCTCCCAACACTTCCAAACCCATCCGAAAATACAGCTGCCCGCGTCGAGGAGCGGAACGAAGTGAACACACCTCGCTCACGTGTCTGCGCAGGACTGGGAAACACCAGTTAGGTCTTCAACCACGTAAATCATCATCTGCCACTAGAATTACACGCACCTGGATGCGGATGGGCCTGCCATCTGTTCTGGGCTGGAATATGACTGCTTGACAGCTACCGAAAGCGAACCTGGCGAGTAAATAATGCAGCTGCCTCGTTTTGGTCAGGAGGAAAAGAATCGTTTGCAGTGCTCCCGTCTCTTGTAACAGAACATTAAATTCCTCATAAAACAACATTTCATTTAAACACCGGCAGATGCTAACTTAACAGTATGTGCGATGGTGTCCCCCGAGAGGGGCTCATTGATGCCGGTAACTGGAAGCAACAATGACAACACACGGAAACAGGCAATCCCGAAGATCCAAATTAAATGAGAGAATAACAGGAAGATGAAAAGACGTAGACTTCCCGAGCAGGCCCAGGGGGACCTGTTTGAGGAACCTGACAAGAAAACCAGTTAATTATGCCCCGACTCACGCACTGAACCACGAGGCAGCTTTGTACGGGCTGCAAGGAAGAGTTCGTCTGAACAGAAATAAGTCTGGGTTTAGAGAGAGAAGCGAGGAGAGAGAGACCAACCCTTCACGGGGCTCTACCAAGACAAATCCCTGCCTCCAGTCCCGTTGGAGGGCACTCGTGCGGTCAGGGGCTTACAGGACAAGCCCGACGAGGGGAGACCGAGGGCCCTGGACCTCTTCAGCCTCTGCAAGAGAAGGCTGAGCGGGGATCTTGTGGCCCCTACAAATCATTATGGGGACGCAGCAAGGGATCGGAGATGCTCTGTTCGCCAGGGCGCCTCTTGGGGTAACGGGGAACAACGGTCACTAACTGACCGAGAGCGGATTTAGGTTAGACACCTGGACCAAGTACTCATCGGTGCACAGAAGCCATCATTTCCCCCCTGCTTCACCCAGTAAGTTGCCGTTGCTTCCCCCTACGTCTCGCCCTGCTGTGCAGTCCCGTCGAAGTCCTGTACCACGCTCATTGGGAGGAAGAGAGGACGCCGGTGGCTGCGACAGCACCAGCAACACTTTCTCTCCCGTGGGATGTCCAACCTTAATCCTCTCGAAGGAGGAAAGATCCACAGGAGGAATTCAAAGAGACCGCCCCAAAACAAGCTAGGGCAGGGCTGGAGCCTGCCTTCTCCTCGGCGGCTGCAGCAAGGGGCAGGCTACCTGCCCGCGCCGCGGGGCGAGCAGACCCCAGGCACAGAGCCGGCCCCTCTCTTGTGGGCAGCAGCCTGCGGGCATCTGGGCTCCGCTGCACAGAGATGGACCGAGAAGAAAGCCCGCGCTGGCAGCCACTTGACAAACCCACCCCAGCATCGCCAACCCGAACCCCTGCTCGGAGCCCGAGCTCTCCCAGGGATCACCACCCTGCCGGGGATCTCGGTTACCCAGCCGCGTTTTACAGCAGGGCTTCCCCCCTCTGGTAATGTCAGCCCAGCTTTTAATAAAATATTTAAGCAGATATTTTCTAAATTTGCCTTTTTCATTGAATGTTTGGATTAGTTGTCTCAGAGATACTTGATATTTCCTCAAGATAAATTAACCGGGGAGTTCAAAGGGAAGATCTGACAGCAACTATTATCAAATTGATCAGAGAAACTGGTTATGTATCTGGGGAAGTGCTTCTTTTTCAATTAGCATTAGAGGGGGGCACAAAACCTAGGGGGGAGATGGAAAAAAAAAAAAAAAATCACACCAGGCCGCGGTGGCTCTCTGCAGCCTCGAACCCAGTGCTCCAGCGGTCCGCACAGTCGCGAGGGAGCAAAGGGAACATGATACACACGCGGACCTGGCCACGTATTTCACATCCAGCTCCCCAGCCTTTGCAGAAAGCATGACTGTTCTGAAAAACGAACCTGGGTAGCACAGACTTGCAGGTCTTCGCCGTCCTGGCAGACTCTCACCTTCCCCCACGGAAGCAGACGTGTGTCTCTCCCTGCCTGGCGAACCCGGCACCCGCGAGGCAAGCTCGGTGGCTTTTCTCTTGCAGATCACCAGCGAACAAAGGCTGCGCGTGCTGAAGGAGGCCCTCCCGAATGCCCGAGTAACCTGGCTGCTCTCACTACGAATGGATTTAGGGGATTAGGATGCAGTAAGCAATTGCACTGGAGGATTACCAAGGAGGAACTGCATCCAGCTCATCCTCTCCAGTTTGGATGTTCAGCCATCCCTGACCTGGGTTTGGCACAAACTTCCAGTGCTTAAGATGCTTGAGGCCTGTATGCTTGCGCTAAAAAGGTGCCCAGGTGTCATCTGGTAGCACTGTCCTCTGACAACAGGATAATGCCACCTTTCAGGGGCTACCTTGCTTCGATCGTTGAAGCCATGGAAACTGGCCCGGCACACCCTTTTTCCTGACCCCTTTCGGAGCAGAGACATGCGACATGGTGGCACAGTTCCAGATGTGAGTGCAGTATGGACTGAGAAATGCAACGCTGGCATTAAATAACCCCTTTGGAAGAGAGAAGCATGGCCAGCAAGCAGAACCAGGCCGCGGCAGACAGGTGCCGTCGTGCAAGGAGCCGGGTGGGACAGGCCGGGTATTCAGGACACTCAAAGCCACAGTGCCAGAGAGAGACAGAAAAAGCAGACTCCAGCTCTGCAGCACATCGCGTGCCTGGTGTCCTGCAGAAATCACGAGCTTCCTAGAGGACAGACCTACCGTAACAGACACCACACACGCTTCCTTGGTCCCTTTCCAACAGGTTGGAGTCGAATCATGGAAGCGTTGGGCTGGAAGGAGCCTCAACGCTCAGTCCAACGCCCTGCACAGACCAGGGTGCTGCTCCTAAACCACCCAGCCCCTTCCTGAAGACTTCCCAACTTCTCTGGGCAGCTCATCCCCTGGTCCCTACTCTTCTTGCAGTTGCACGAGATTATTCTGAGCTTTAATCTAAATCTGTTTCGCTGTCATTTGAATCCATTGAGCTGTGTCCTGACTGCTGCAGCAAGGGAGAACAATTGTGCTCTCCCTTCGTAGCAGAGCAGAGAGAATCCAGGCCCTCGGCAGTCGTGCCGGTTTGCCATCGACAGCAGCCCCGTTACTGTGGCCAAGAAGACTTTAAAAACTTTGGTGTACTGTACAGGCCAGCAGGCACCCTGGCTGGGTAGCTCTGTCTACGCCGCCGGGTCGGAGGGGCCGGCATCCTCTCCCCACCCTTCTGCTGGCTGCAAGATTTGCTGTTGCTAAACCAGCCCAGAGGCCCGTCCAGCTTCTCTTCCGAAGATCTCCCATGACCCCCAAAGCTCCTCTGCTCTTGGCGAGGGAGCCGACATCACTGCGTTTAAACCACGTGCGTCGCCACCGACCCACGCACAGTTTTATGCTTTCCCTTGTCCAGCCTCCCTCCTGTTGCTTTCCAATTCTGCCCGCTTCTCGTGCACCCCTTTGCAAGCTTTCCACATCTGGGGTACAGCAAGTAGCCGCACCAAGGAGCTCCCTACTGATCCGGGCCTGCCGTGATAAATGATCCTGCCTCGCTGTTCGCAGCCTCCACCAGAATCATTTCATAAATAAAGTTAACTCTGCTTTGGTTTTTAGCATGTACTTACATTACGAAGAGGAGCCCATCTGGATGACAGCATGATGCATTTGCTGAAAGCATTGGTCCAGATTCCTCCTTTCCCTAAACAAGAACATATTTTCACTGTTAAACATTTAATTGCCACAAGCACTTTAAGCTAGACATATTTAGGACAATTTATTACAAAAGTCATAAAATTCTTTGACATCACTGTGGGCAAGCCACGGCCATGGAGTTTCCAACTCTGTTGTAATTCAAGGGGATTCGTTTAAGAGAGAAATTAAATGGTGATACACAGAATTTATGGAGGAACGCAGACTGCTGGTTTAATCTGAGATAACTAGAGGCTATTTTGGACACAAAGATGCACCAATTCTGAAATCTTTATTCACGTCGGTAATTTTGTTGGTCTCAAGAGAGACTATTCCAATAAGGCCTTAATAAATGTAATCTCAAGGTGGGCTCAAAAGCATTCAAGCACTGCTCCTCTTAAACCACGCTTACTTGGGTCAGAGCTACTGCTCTGCATCTTTTCCAGTTGTGGGCATGAACGATATCCTATCAGAAAATAATCATTAAAAACCTTAAAACCCTGAAAGAGAGCATCCCTAAACTGGTAACGTGCACACACAGCACGTATGCAGAGCAGAGAGATTCTGCTCAGGGTTACCCAATTTAGATCCAGGGTGGTCAGCACGCGAGTCTGAAGACACGGGGCAGAAGGCAGGCAGGGTGGCACCGCAGACACTAGCTGGTCCAGGGGCACGGGGGTTCGGAGGCAACAGCCTACGTCGTCAGATGCGAAGACGGTCCATTCCTAGCATCAGGCGAAGTAGGCTGTTGCCTACAAAAGCTCATGCCCCTCTGGATCAGTTCATCTCCACGGCACTGGTTCCCAACTTTTTTAGACTCACGGCACCCCTCGTTACTCCAGCCCTCCATGCTACCTCAATTTTCATATATTTTTCTGTAGTCAAAAAATGTAGGCAAGCAATGCTCCCGTTGCAAAGAACTCAGAAAGCTCACAACGTGCCAGAATGCCTGTAACCCGACAGATTCACACTGGCAATCTCTGGGGTCATCTTGTGAACCGCGTTTGCACGCCCCGCAGTGCTGGTGCCCGGTTAAGAACCACTGCTTTATGGCGCTACCCTCCCCTACCGTTGGCCAAATACAAGCGTCTAACAGCTCATTTGACTTCAGTGCAGGTACTCACGACTGCCCTCCCCAATCAAATTGAAAGCAAAACTTGGTACAGAAGTTTATTGCAAAGAGAGCTTGGATTTTTATTCTTTGCACACTGCGGATTCCCATTGCTTCAGTGCAGGATCAGACCCAGAATTTGTATTCTGTCTGAAGAAGTCTGGAAAATAAAACACACTTCCTTTCTGCGCCACTTTTTTCTCCTCAAAGAAAAGCTATTGCTATTTAGGTCTTGTAGAGAGATTGTTATTTAAAAAGTTACTCAAAATATTATCTTTGCATTTAAATGTTTTGAGACAGCGAGCCACGGAGGCTGTTTGAGCGAGCGGCTCTGGAGAAGTCCCAGGAGCACTCGCCCGTGTGATTTCGCCTTGCTCAGACTCGTCGCACGGCCCAGCGCCTTCAGCGATCACTTGTGTCATCTCCAGAGCCTCGGCACATAATAGAGTTTAATTGTTCCTTCCACTTACCATGGAAAAACGGTGGCTATTGCAACCGTCAGGTTTAACTGGGTCTGCAATCGCCTACAGATCAAAAGACTCACTTGACGGCAGCCATTAACACATCCCAGCATGATGCATGTGACATTTGGCAGTGTAAAATGGGCATTTTATACTGCCGGGTGGATTTAATTATTTTGTCCTGATTTACCTGTTAGAGTCCTGACAAGAGACAAAAGGCCACTGCGATAGTCTGTTTTATGGCGGGCGCAGAGAGCAGCGTTACAGATGCAGGAAAGGGACTCCGCCGACTGTCTTGCATTAGCAATGTTTCAGGAACAGCAAAAGGTTGAAGGAAAGAGACCCAAATTAATAACTGCAGAGGCATAAGCTAGCTCGGCTATCTATCTGTCAGAGATGCGCCAGATCAAGGCGGTACGGCACGACTACCGGCAAGGGAAGGCAGTAAATAGAAACACTTCGGTGAACAACGGCTGGCCTTAGGTTGCTAGGCTCAGCGCAAGAAAGGGAAGAAGCGGATCGCTTGCAGAGGCGGAGGTATTGTTCCTCAGATACGGTTAAATAAATGGAGAGAGGGAAGAGTTCAGAGAGGAATCGTGTTTCTAAGCACACAAACAAACGAGAAGACGGAGGGTGGCGGAGCCGGCAGTACTTTCTATTGCCTGGCTCCAAGGTCCCAGAAGCTCACTGAAGCCAGAACAGCCCTTGTGCTAATTTCGGTAGCCCACAGATGTGCGATCTGCATCCCAGATGTGGAGTACGCGCTTCTGGAGTACAAAGACTAGACGGAGGAGGCACCACTTCCACCCCGCCTGCCACGCCGCTCCCGTTCGAGAGCCCGCGTCAGAGGAACGTTTGTCCCAGTTCAGCGCCGAAATCCAGGACCCGAACGCTGGGAAGCCAGGATCCAGAAGAGGAAGCAAGAGCCGATGGACTGCATTTGAATCTACGAATTCCCACCAAGACCTTCTCTTCCCAAAAAATTAAACACAAACCTAGAAGATTAATCTAAGCAAATGAGGGACATATCAACATAAATATCTCGTGAGATGCAGAGTTTGCTCCTTCAATACTGTTAGAGGTCTATCCTCAGTTTGCTCCAGTGCAGAGCTGTGGTCTCAGAAGAACGAATGGTGCAAAGGAAAGCAGTTATTACTAAAATATTCAAGTACAGAAAGTTAGAAACAACTTAGGACAAAAGTATGATGAGCAAGGGTGTGCAGAACTAGACCTAGATGCTGCACTTTTCCTCCTACTTTGCACTAAAATCCACACACACAATATTTTAATGCTTTTTCCAGACAGACTTGAAGTGGAAGAACACTCACATGTCTCGTGAAGGGGGCAGCACAGGAGTGGAGGGTCTACAGGCTTGCGAGCACGATAGGGCCTAATTAGACATTACATTTAGCACACATTCGCTGCACTTAAAATGCTAGTGTTAGTGTCTAAAACAGGTGCCATTGCAGTGCAGCAAAGTTAGGACTTTTCCAGCTCTGGCGCGTGGTAAGCATCGCCGGGAGACTGCTCAGACCACTCCCCAACTCGCAGCAAGGCTTACCGTGCTCTAAATAACACATGTCCAAGGTTCGAACAGGCTCGCTTTGTGCTATGCTGAAGCCTTTTGCAATCACTGGCCACGTCTGCAGATAAAACTGGAGTCTCTAAATACAAGACAAACCCTAAGTATTGGCAGCTTGTAAAATGCCAAGCACCGGGGATGACTATAACGTGCTATTTCGGGCTTAAGCTAACATACAGAACGACAACAGCGCTGAAGCTCTCTCGGTCTTCCCAGAAGCTGGGAAATACAGGCCAGGACTCCCCCGGTCTTCCCCCAAAAAAGCGTCCACCTCAGCTCGACTCATGACTGAAGGAGCAGATCAACGAGAACCGAGTGAGATGTCACACAAAAATTCTTCCGGAGGAAAAACACCCAAAAAACTAATCCTACAAGCCCCCATTTCTGAATATTTGACAGTTTTGCCACATTTTTTTTTTTTGTCTCTTAAAACGAGTCTAAAAATTCAAGCAGCCAGTTTCTGCATTTGAAAATGAAGTATTTACATTTTAAAAATATCATGTGTAAAATTAAGTTTCAACACTCAGCATTTTGTGTAAGCGTTGGCTGAGCTGAAACAAGAGATATCATTTGAAATTTTGATTCACAAAAAAGCCTGAAAAAACTGTTTTCCTTGCAAACTGCTGATGTCGGTCCGAGTCACGCGCATGAGCAGTTGTACGGCGCTGCCTCACGCAGGCACCAGCTGCCGATGCCCGGATCCAGCGCTGGACAGTCCAGAGGAGACAAAAACCAACACCTGGCGCATGCGTTTGCAAGCATGGAAGCACAGGTAATAGCATGAATGCCTCAAAACATACAGCAATGTGCACGGTGCCTGGGATTAGCGCACACGTATTGTAGGGGAGTGGATGCACCTTTAAATGTTAACATATTTAAGTTGCATTCATTAATAAATAGAGTTTAAACGAGAATCCTCCAAGGAATCAGAGTTAAGCGGTCCGTCTCCCAGCGCTGCGTGGTTACGCTCGGCTTTCTGCTTCTCTCCCCTCAGTGCTTTGCTGCTTTTACCAAAATGGCAGCGTGCTGTACTGAATACATGAATAAATGCTTACAACGAGGCCAACGCTCGAAGTAGGGATTTCCAGTTGGAGAAGCAGACTTCAGATCTGTGCCCTTTTTAGCTGTAGGAGCGAAGCTCCACTCTCAGACAGACTGCTCCAAATCCACAGAAGCAGAAAGAGCTCATTCACATTTAAACCGGTGAAACATGGCCAGGATCCACTCATACACGATCATTACACCTTAGCATGCCCCAAACCCAACAGGCTGCTCCAGGCAGAGCCAGAATCCGTCCCAAGTGGCCGTTGTGTTCTGAACCTTTGCATTTCCCTGTTTTTTCTATTTAATTTCATATTTCCAGAGTCAGATTCTGCCTTAGGAAAGCAAGGTATCAACGCCTGCAGGTATCGCTGGCAGAAATAAGGGTGGAATTTAGCCCGAGACGCGTGCACGCAACGCTGAAGAGCTTGATAATGACCGCAGTTAGTTCACAGTGGCATTCGAGGTCCCTCCGAGGCGCTGGGCATGGCGGGCTCCCTGCGCCGAGGAGCCGACAATCTAACGAGCTGCTGATGCCCTGCCCGGCACGTTTATTAATTTGATGGATGCTGAAGACGGTTCAGAAGAGCAACGCACTGAGATTTGCTTTGGAAAATTGCATCTTCCGAGGCTTAGAAGTACAAGCATGAGTCAGCCAGGCCTGGGTGACAATTGTAAGCAATTATATCATTTTTGCTGTGAAGCTGACTACTCCTACCTGTATGTCATTAAGAAAAGCGAGTGCTCAGAGCACACAACGTGTGACAGCTTATGCTTTGAACACAAGCAGAGCAGGCTTCTGGAGAGCACACCAA